AACAGCATTTAATTACACTGATACAAAATCTAAAATGGCCATATTCTTACTCACTATCACATGACTTCACGAAATGAAAAACATGACAATCTTGTAAAACAAGTTTTCTATAAAATTGATATATCAGATTAAAAAGAAGATGAACACATTCATGTATTAACATACACTTCCTATGAAACCAATGTCCTGTTAACAAATTATATAACAATGTGCATTTCTCAGATTATGATGAAATGTTTTATGTTAATATAAATGTATATGCGTATTGTATACTTTATTGCGAGACAGATATCATAAATTGATACCAATATGTTAAACTGAATTTGAAAAGTCCTTAATTCCTACTCAGTAATGATAATAACTAGAGCATTTTATAAAAATCTTGACATTGGTAAACACATCTTGAGCTGACAGCAAAAAAGTTTCACTGTGTAGGATGGTGAAGCTGGAAATGTAACAATGTACATGAATGTATATAATTCTATGCTAAATAACAAGGCACCTAAATCGAACACATGAATTGGGAGAGCAGCATATGGAATCAAACCACATCACAGATTTATACCCTAAACATGTATACAAAGTTTGTTAAAGGAATAAAAATGAAATTGCTGTACCAAATTAAAAATTAGTAATGGGACTGTCTTACATTCAAAATGAAACAGAACTTGGGAATATGCTAGCAAACTAGCTATAAACAACTCATATATATACGGTGTGATCAGTTTGATTTTGGATTTTAAATGTCAATGTAATAATCAGGGTACATGATATATATAATGGAATTAAGGAATTAATGTATTACATGTCTCCTTTTGTTTTCGGATAACCGTTGTTTCCATATCACATGTTTAATACACATTTCCAATGGTGTAAAATCCAACCATATGAAACATGATAATAAGACTACCATGACACATGGAGCAGAACTGGGAGAAGGTATGAAATTAAAATCATAAGAGTTTACCCCTCACAAACACCAAACAAGGATAACACAGCTGTCACAATCAATGTCTGCCTAATATTACTTTTGAATCCATGTGAAAGTGATTTCGAGTATAAAGCTTTGTGAAAATCAAATTAAAAGTAGAATTGTTTTATGCATTTTGTCATTAAAGTATTGTTGAGTGTGAAGATTTTGAAAGTACAGTCTAGATGGATTGCAATATTTGACCTGTTTGTTCTTTTGGCAACTACTGACATGGTTTAAATGATAAAACCTTTACCATCCTTACATATCAGTCTTACCAAATATTGTTTGGTAAAATTCATGTTATAATTTATTTGTCAGGAGAGAGGAGTTTATCTTGACCCAGCCCATGATTACTGATTAAACCATTCAACATCTGATCTTCACTAACTTTGCTTAATATCTTACAACAATCTTTTACCAACAACAGGGACCAAGCACATTTTATAGATCATTTAGATCTAACCCTAAATGGTTATGATATGTTTAGATGTCAATAGGTCAAAGGCAACTAAACATGTTACATTTGGAGATTTTCTCAGGTCCCGGTGGTATCTACAAGTGATCTCTAACAACTGATGATGGAATTCCTCATTTTGCTAATCCTTCCTTCACAATTTCTTTTAAAAACAAAAACAAACCTACAGGTACCTTAATTTTTCGTTACTTCATTGCATTTGGGATAAAAACGATAATAAGTCAAGGTATGGCACATCTTACACAACAACAACAAGATTTATCATACACAATTGAACCAGTTTCACAAAATTCAATTATAAAAGAGGAGATAGTAGAGAATCTGAGCTAAACAAAGGGCAATAACTCAGTATAAAACTGGTCACTTGGTACTATAAGCTAACTTGTTTAGGAGATAATGACTGTTTTCAGTAATGCATGAGATTTTGTGATATCTGGTAGAGAAATAAAGGCACAAGAACTCTGTAAATTTTGAGCAAAAAATCACTGAAGGAAATACAGATAAAACAATTACAATAGAAAAAGAACAGACATCCTTAGGTAAACAAAAACTTGTCTAACAGGCATCCTTAGGTAAACAAAAACTTGTCTAACAGGCATCCTTAGGTAAACAAAAACTTGTCTAACAGACATCCTTAGGTAAACAAAAACTTGTCTAACAGGCATCCTTAGGTAAACAAAAACTTGTCTAACAGGCATCCTTAGGTAAACAAAAACCTGTCTAACAGGCATCCTTAGGTAAACAAAAACTGGTCTAACAGGCATCCTTAGGTAAACAAAAACTTGTCTAACAGACATCCTTAGGTAAACAAAAACTTGTCTAACAGGCATCCTTAGGTAAACAAAAACTTGTCTAACAGGCATCCTTAGGTAAACAAAAACTTGTCTAACAGACATCCTTAGGTAAACAAAATCTTGTTTAACAGGCATATACAATCTCAGTTTAAATATCTCTGCTATTTCTCAATGTATATAAGATATGTCATTGCATTGGTAATCAACTCATAATTGATGTTATTACTGATGCTAAGTACCATTTTACCAAAGTGATTGAAAGAAGCAGATAAAGTATACTGTACCTATCAGCTCTGATAGAAGTGATAATATTCAAATTGATATTTGTCAGATTGTTGGTACCAAGGCTCCAATTTTTTCAGACACATAACTGTACTTTTTACTTATTGAAACTTAATCTAAAACTAAGAATTACTGAAAACTGGTGTTGTGTTGTTTCCCTATATGATCTGTTCTTCCATCCACAACTACTAAATAGCAGAGTGTCAGGAGAAACATTGAAATTAAAGCATCCTTTTAGTTTCATTGTCCGATATTTGAGATACCTGTTAGTGTAAAATGCCTTTTCCAACAGAAGGCATCATTTTATCAAACCTCTCCAACAAAAAGATTTAGTGATGTCATAACTAATTCAGTATCCTAAATATGTGTGAAATGTTTTATGTGCCTTTCCCACCAGATAAGTTACATGAGACAGTGTTGTTTTGATTAAACAAAGTTGCAAAAAATTCACACAGAAAACAATGTAAACAGAGTATTTAAAAACAATCAAATGAAAATAAGCCAGCAGAGTATATTAATATTTAAGAAAAGCATTTTAATATAGCATTACTTCTAGGTAAGTAAAACACTACAATAACAGGGATAAAACAGCTCTTGTAACAACATTCATAGAAATAACAAGGTTTATTCATGATACTAAAGAAGGCAGGTATATATAAAAAAAATGCCTACCACAGAAACACAGACAAAAATATACAACTATATAAATACAGACGTACAAACATTTATGTTGATTAATTATTAGTATATAATTATATAATACTTCAATCTGAATACTTCACACTTGTATATACTATAGACATATTTGCAACAAAAACTCCTATAAATATACATGAATTGCCATCAAAAGTAGTTTTGATATTTCTTCATTAGGTTTTGATATGACAGCTTAAGAGATAGTAGGGAGGGGGTGGGGGAAGAGAGGGGAGGTGGACAGCTACATCATCATTTTAACTTCATATTAATGCCGTTAGTTCAGTACAATAGATTAGTAGGTTTACCAAATAAAAAAAGAATATATAAATGCAATTAGATTCTGTCACATAAATATTAATAAAAGTATGGATTTCTGTTGATAAACATAATACTGGGAGCTATTGTAAACAAACTGCACATGTGGTTATACTAACTAAGTGATGAAACCTTGCCAAGCCACTAAGAACAGGTAGCATGATTTATATCACTTAATCAGTAATTTCAAACACTAGTAACAATATGATACAACAAATGTATTACACCAAAAGCAAATTACTCTATTTGGTGTCAAAACAAGAATATCAAATTTTAGCCAATGTGATATTTGCAGTTTATGAGCAGGAACTAAAAATATGTTACCAGATAAGCAAATAAAATGTGCCGGATCATTATTTGTAATCTAGTCCTATGGCAAAAATTTGACACTGCCGAAAGATAAAATGCAGTGATGAGGAGGCTACCTGTATAACACTTGAAATAGTTTCATTCACTTTTGGTTGAAAAAGGGAATTTCCTTAAACCATATTCAAATAAATTTTTCTTCTTGTCACCAAACTTGTTGCAATATATTTATATATTTCAATAGTGACTTGAATGAACAAGAATATCACAACACTTTGAAGGAAAACCAGCAATTCATTTTATGTTGGTCCATAAATACTTTTGGTCTACAGCTATCACTGCCATCTATGGCAAGCACAAGATTGTATGGGACAAACAAATCATATACAGAATCTATCACAAGTATTGTTCAGATGTACATCAGATATCTTTGTAGAAACTATTGCTGAATGAATATGTTTGTTCTTTCACTGGCTTTACTGTATGTACAATTACCAGTTATTGCAGTAAAACATCTGTCCCATCCCTGGATTCCAGGTTTTGTTAAAGGATTGTTGCAGTAAAATATCTATCCCGCCCCAGAACTCCAATCCCACCCCAAGTTTCCAGGTTCTTTCAAGGGTATGATCTGTCCAAGTAAAACATTTATACCACCCCAGGACTCTTGGATTCGTTTAGGGGTATGGACTGTCCCAGTAAACATTTATAACACCCCAGGGTTCTAGGTTTTGTTTAGGGGTATGGACTGTGCCGGTAAACATTTATACCACCCCAGGGTTCTAGGTTTTCTTTTGGGGTATGGACTGTCACAGTAAAACATTTATACCACCCCAGGGTTCTAGTTTTTGTTTGGGGGTATGGACATGTCCCAGTAAAACATTAATACCACCCCAGGGTTCTAGTTTTTGTTTGGGGGTATGGACATGTCCCAGTAAAACATTAATACCACACCAGGGTTCTAGTTTTTGTTTGGGGGTATGGACTGTCCCAGTAAACATTTATGCCACACCAGGGTTCTAGGTTTTGTTTAGGGGTATGGACTGTCCCAGTAAACATTTATTTCTGCCACACCAGGGTTCTAGGCTTTGTTTAGGGGTACGGACTGTTCCCATAAAACTTTTACACCACCCGAGGAACCCCTTGGTTTTGTTTTGGGATAGAATTGCTTTACATCCTGGGGTCAAGTAATTTTTTTTTTTCTAGCATAACCCTAACCAGAAAGTTCTGGTTAGGGTTATGCTAGAAAAAAAAAGTCACTGAATATATTTTGAATAAGTTAACTGATAAACTAAAAGTTCAACACTTATCAACCAACTGCCATAAATCAGGAAGATTTGCGTAGTTCTATTTCTGTAGATTTTCTAATTAGAAGGGCATATGTATTGATCTTTAGTGAGAATAACAAAGAAATAAAATAACCATATCTGCATTTATGTTGTTTAAGTGTTAATAAATTATTAATTATACCAGACCGAACCATTTGGAGGAATATTTGATTGATTGAAAATGTTTGTCTCCAACCCTAACACATTGTATGTAACGAAGTACATTTATATAGGGTTCTTGTAACTAAACCACTGTGAATTTGTCTTCTGAAAATCTATTAACACTCAACAAATAAATCAAAGAAAGAAAAAATAACAATTTTGTTGATGAATACATGTACATATGAATAACACAAAAGTGTCTCAAAAATAACCGTCAATTGCCCTAAGAAGTTGAATTGCATTAATATCTTTAATATCCTCCTCCCTGCCAGAGAATTAGTCCAGTCGTTTTTCCATATGCTGGAAACACTATAAAATACAATAATATTGATATTATGGTACATTTCACACAGAAACATTTGCTTCATCTATCCACAATTCTATCCTTTATTCGGTTGAGAATTAAATGCAAAAGTCAGTGAATATATAAACTGTATCACATAAAGTTAATAAACAACTCTTGCCTAGAGTAAGACTTAAAGCTAATCATCCAAAAAACTGCATTATTAGTATGTTTGGTGGAAATATCTTTATCAATAAATTCCTGCTATTTCCACACTTAACAAAATTCATACTACTTCTGCCAGTGTTGCATACATATCTGTCTAAATCTAAGCTGAAAGAAATACTCTGTTACAGTAACTTAATGTTAATCCTGACCAAAAGATAGTCTCAACTTCTCATTTTTTTCTTTTCATAAATTTGAATTCATATTGAAATCTCATCATACTAAAAAGGTTGTGAGTGGAATTATTCTTAACAACGGACAGATAGGACTCAAACACTGAATACCAGGCATGTCTAATTATATTTTGGAACATTTTCTACAGGTTAATAATGTCTTAAAAAAGAAATTCTAAAACACAATCTTCTACTGGTAGTGTTATGAAAAAACTTTGACAGTATTCTAATACCATACAGATATAATTCCTTTAAAATAATCTGGTATACTTACACATATACCCACTGTACACCAAAGCCAGCCACACTTCCAGGATCTACTGGACACAGTGTATCCCTGTCTTTCGTATAAATGTATTGCCCAATTGTTGACACCAACCAGCAGGGAAATTGTCTGTGAATAGGCAACACACATATTACTTAACCTTTTTAATATACTTCTCTCCCAATTCTATAATCTACTGGTGTGGTGTAAGGCATCACTGTATGAAATACATGAGTATTCACCAATCATGATCTTTTTTATAATTTTTTGCCACCTGAAGTTACTTAAAAAAAATTTTAACACTCCCTTATTCTGTAATCTGTTCATGTAAGTAATACAGATTTCCACAAAATCATTGTTCGACAAAATTCCTTCTGTGTTGTCAATAGACCCCAGCAGTCAGAATGTCTACTGTCTCCTATTATTAATTCTAGACAAAAATAACACTGAAGGAATTCTCTCATCACTCATTCATTTTTCACCTTGTTGAAATTTTGAAGGTCTTTTTAAATAACAAAAAAATTTTGAAAGGCGTCATTGCAAAACAAGCACAATGCACCAGAAGGAACCTCCTGGTCTCCTTATTATTCTTCCTTATCAAAATCAGTTAAGATATTTCCTAGTTATACTAAATGTTAATACTGACAATATAACATTTCATTGAGTATTTCCTTTGTGAACAGTCTAGATACCATGAAGCAGGATATATTTGTGTTGTGAAATTTTTGCTTAAACTTTTAAAATGTATGTTTTGCAATTTTTGTGCATTTCAGTTTTTTGCAATTTCGTTAGAAATTTGAAAGGCCCTCTTTTGAAGGTTTTGAATACTTCTGAATCGATAAAGCTTTTATTTATACTACCGGTAGTGTGGATTCTGACATCAACTGGATATCTAACTGACCAGTCATCCTTGATAAGATATTTACATACCAACTAGTATTTATTTAATACAGAAGTATCACAATACAAATAGTTCAAGTGTCTATAGGTATGTCATCTCTATCGATGTACTACTTACTAATGCATTTCCAAATGAAAGAAATCTACATGCAAATTTTGTGATTTTATTTTTTTGCAATGTTGAAAGGGTCGCTAAATTTGCAAGAATTAGATGCACATGAAAAATCCCAATAAACTCTTTCCCAAATCCTGCTGACAGAAATAGACAAGTCTGTCACCTGTATGTTGTGGTGAGTCAGCCTGGATCTAACTCAATCATTTGACATTGATTTAAACAGGCCGATATCCCATGATTCTGTAACATTACAGTGTGATTGTCTAGGTATTCCTGTACACATTCTTGTCTGCTTTTGTTTGTGAAAAATGTATTCTAATTCTGACATAAACAGTTCAGAAATCCCCTTTTTCTGCTATTTCTAAATATCACACATTATGTACAATATGTTTTCAAAATTAATTCAGTATCTCACTTACTGAATGTAAACTAACAAAACCATCCCACACTACCAACCAGAGTGGTGACAAACTTGAAAGATTTTTTAAGTTTGAGCCAGTGGTTCACTTGACATTTTCAGACAATGAATTTACATGTCCTACCCGACAGCCATGGATGCGAGCCTCATGTTCAGCTCTGTCCAGTAGGGCTTTCCCAATACCCTTTCCTCGGAATTCCTCCTCAACTGCCACCATATCCAAGTAACACTCATGGTCCCCAATGTTGTCCACTGTACGGAGTCCATAATTCAAACATTTAAGGCTGCACATTAAAACAAAGAATCTTAAATATTGTAGTTGTCTACAATGTTTCTTGTGTAATACATAAAAGTGTCCAGATTTACTTCTGACATTCCAAACTCTACTAAGCTATGTTATGCCACTCAAAGAATGCTAAATGTAAATACATACTTATGCAATATAGTCATATAGTCCTGATTATTTATTTCATTTTTAAAAGAAGTTTTTGTGTGAGACTATTAGAGTGTGTCAGGAGCATCCCTTTACCAGAGTAATCACCTTCAGGTCAATTATTACAATCATATAGGACTCATAGTTCTGTTCATTTCAAAGAGAGCAAACATGAATAAAGATAACAGTGTTAATACTTATTGTACCAGCAGGTGAGTTAACACTGGAATTACATATTGTACCAGCAGGTGAGTTAACATTAAAATTGCATATTGTACCAGCAGGTGAGTTAACATTGTAATTACATACTGTAGTACCAGATGGTGAGTTAACAGTGTAATACTATAGTGTACCAGCAGGTACATTAACAATGTTATTACTTATTGTACCAGCAGGTGAGTTAACAGTGTTATCAAAGATTGTACCAGCACTTGAGTAAACAATATAATTTCATATTGTACTAGCAGGTAAGTTAACAGTGTTATCAAAGATTGTACCAGCACTTGAGTAAACAATGTAATTTCATATTGTACTAGCAGGTAAGTTAACAGTGTTATCAAAGATTGTACCAGCACTTGAGTAAACAATGTAATTTCATATTGTACTAGCAGGTAAGTTAACAGTGTTATCAAAGATTGTACCAGCACTTGAGTAAACAATATAATTACATATTGTACTAGCAGGTGAGTTAAGAGTAATTACATATTGTACCAGCAGGTTTTTTAATACACACGCCAAAAACTTACCCGCAAACATCACAACACCCAAAGGTGTCCAAGGCGTCTGTGTTTTCCCTGTAAACAAACAGAGTAAAGTAATGATATATTTGGTATATACAACAAGGTAACATCATAAATGTCATAACATGTAGCGTATAGACTGTAATGTATTTTACTGAAGTAATACCACATACCTTGGTAAAGGGTCTCCACGGAAAATGAGGTAGATTATACCAACAGGTTTGCCATCATACTCAGCAACAAAGTTCCTCTGGTAGTAGATAGGATCCTGTCCACGCTGTTCCATTGAAATTGTTCTGATGACATCAGGTATGCTAAAGACATTTCAAATATCTTAACTTTTACATGGTGTGAGAAACATCAAATATAAATATATAAGGCTAATTTCGTTAGGATAATAATAGATAAAATATATCAACGAAACACTATGCCCTTGGTTGCAAAAAAAATTCCTAAGTAGGACATTAAAACTGTACTGTGTAAGGCATGTGCTAATTACGTGCACACTTTGTTAAACACTGATTTCTTTACTTTTTAGGTTTAGGCAGTAAGATACTTTTGGCAGATATCTAGAAGTTGGCAAAAGAACATTAAATAATGAATATACAAACTGTGTCACATTATCATATTCCCCTTAACAGTTTCTTACAATTCTAACATGTTCAGCATACCTTCCTTCACTTGTTGCATGGACATATTTACTTCTGAAAGCATTCACTGTCAGCTTTCCTGCAAATGCAGCATCTTCTGCATCATCCCGGAGGCACCGTATGTGGAATGGAACAGTCAAACTATTAATGTCAGCATGGATGGGTACTGGTTGAGGCTGCGAGACAATTGGGTTTAAGGCAGGATCCTTTCCATTTTGTGGTGTCATTATTTTGGACGGCCAGTTTAGAAAATATAAAAAAGCAGGGATTCTGTAAAAGATGGAGTATGCATTACATATTTTGATACAGTATATAGCTAATATTTGATAGTGTTTCAAATGATTAAAATTTTGCCAACAAATAAAGTTTGACATTCTGAAAATAGACTCAATCACTCACTTGGAAAATGTTTAACCTTTATTTACTTTTTAAGATTTTTACGTGGTCTATCAGATTTAATAAATCGTAAAAGTAGAATTCTCTTGAAAGTGATGATTAATGAGAAGCGCATACATTGCTAAGCAAAATAATCTTTCTTTCCATATATGTTGTACAGTAGCTGGTCTATATATAACACAGTTTTAACTTTTAATCCAAATCATTAAAGTTTATTCAGTAAAAAGGCACTAAAAAATAACTTATTTCTTAAATAATTTCCTTATCAGGTCCTGGCCTTGTGGTCAGACAGATGTCAAATTCACTATTCATATCCATTGCTTCAGACCAATATCCTTGTATGGAAGAAGGATTTTTAAGAACATATTTCCCCCAATAGGACCCAACTCAAGTGGCCATGATCTTCATATTATATTGAAACAATGTAATATACATTCCCTCTCAATATTGGGTAGTATGGGTTATTGATTTAGCATCTGATTAAATAACACGTTTACAATACCTGCCTGATCTTAATGTTTTCGTTTTCTTATTGGGGGGGGGGGGGTGTCGTTTCGGTACCAGGTTATTGCTTTACTTCCAAACAAAGTCGTTTAGGTACTTTTAAAAAGGTTTTTATTTATGTATTTGATCACGTTTTAAGGTGCTTTGTCATTCGTAAATATTGCTCATTCCGTAACTGAAAAATTGTTCACTCAATATGTCACTAGCTGTGTAAACCATTTTACATGTAGCGAAACCTGGAAATTTCCAAAATCAGGGAAAAGTGTTACGAAAATGTACTATAATTTACACAGTATGTGCTTTTTTACAATAATGATCAGACGGTATAAACGAAATATGTCTCGTCACAAAGGATAGCGTAGAATGGGCCTCATAAAACTACAACAGACAGCAAGCACTCGTCACCTCTCTACTTCAGCACAGTACAGTGGATCATATTCTTTAGTTATGCCTACATTATACATACCATGTGTTCTCATTGGAATGCATATAGTCGCATCTTCAGGAATCACCAATTAAACAACATCACTGTATCCACAAACCGAACTGTATTGTGTAAGGGAGTTGGGGTGATGGGGAAGTTTTGTTTAGACGGATGTTGCTAAAGCATTACAACGTAAGAGTCGTTCTGAGACAAAATATACGGATTAATCATATTTCATACAAGGCGGTAGTTATTATCCAAATTAAACAATGACACATAGCATTTGACGCATCTTGACATGAATACAATTATTCATTTGTTATATCTTGATAGCAATATAAGTTCTAAACAACAGTCGCCGACAAGGACGCTTCCCGGCCCTGTTGCCAAAACCGACTTTTAAATGATTGCCATTAACACAATATAAAAAATGAACCGGTACCATCATTTAAATAAATAATAGGTGAATATACTGCACGTCCATAGGCTTAGAGAATGTAAAGTTAAAGCGGTATTTACGAATATATTCAGTATACATACTCAATTCTGACTTTTGCAGTAGGTACAAATGATGCCAAGAACACGGATGTGTTTATTCCAAATATAGCCCAAATTATCCTGTCGTTTTATCGTCTTTCAAAGTGTTTTTCTGTATAGATATATATATATATCAGTCTGGAGCCAATGACCGTCAGAGCTCTGGTCCAAGTGAGGGAAATAAGCGACCTGAACACGGGTCTGCGTTCAAACTCCGTGATAATTGTGGAAAAAAAATATCGTTATTTTCATATGCATATCGCACATAGACCGAAAGATCTGTTCTTATCTACAAGCTGTTACCAATGCCATGTTTCAAAATTCAGTGCAAATATGTATTTGAATACTTTTTCTGTAGACCCAGACCAATATATAAAGTCGATAAAACGTCAGAATAACTCAATAATTAGAATTATTATACTAGTGATGCATTCACATCAAGTTACTAGGAGGTTTATTCATTTCATTAATTTAACTGCGAATTGGTAATATCTAATCATGTTTTTATCATCATTTGACAGATGTACATAAATCCACATGACATGATCTTAGTTGGCAAGCAGTTCCAGGTGTCGACATTCCTCAACGACATTTTTTCCCTAGTGTGACAGGAATTTTGACACTCCAGGATCATATTTCACTGTTATAATATTTATAAAACTTTATCATGTATTCTAATGCCCGTCTGTAAATCTACTGCCCTTCGATTCACTCTGTCACATAGTAGGCTCAGTATAGCAATAAGTTTGACAGCCGGTGACCGAGAAATGTGAATGTTGGGAGCTGTAAAACTGCGGTAATAGTTAATTTCAAAATTTTGCGTTCAGTTGGTTTCATTCGACGTTTAAGGACGTTGGTTCATTTCAAATGTAACTCTATTAGTGCATGGTAAACATCGTGATTAACGGATTTTTCGAGGAGAGCTATGATTCACTGACCAAGACTTGAACCAGGAAGTTTGACGGCTGATTTTGACGTTCTCTAATGCGTATTTGCAAAACAGGTGATTTCGATGTAAATATAACACCTGCACTTTATTCTGGGCGGACAATTCTGTTGACTCGTCTCATTAAGAATTGTACAACCATTGGTCTTAAAAAATCGTCCAGACATCAAATGCCAGTATACATTTCAACTTGTCATAACAAGTCTAGTAAGACTCAACCCACAACTTCCGCCTTAAACCATAACACTTCCGCCGCCAAAGCGGTTCCGTTCTGCGACACGGCAGTTCACAAAGCACTCCCCTCGTCATTCCCAAAATCTGTGCCTCTCGTTATCATGTTTTAGACAAAGTATGTCCATTGTCGGAAAACCCAACGACGGTGACCTCAGGGTCAGGTATGGCAATTATTATGGCAGAGTATTCTGTCTGACGGCTTGGGTTTGCTGACGTCATTAAGTTTCCGGCTGTACCGTAGAGTTTATGATCATTTGTCTACAACGTATGGTGGCTGATTTCTGCCATTTCGTTGTTTCGTTTTGTCGCCAAGGCACAACGATAATTGTCGTCTTTTTGCCCCGCTAATAATCTTCTTTTCGCTACGAAAAAGCGGAGGGATAATAATCATCGTTTAGTCGCGGCGAAAGGACGATAATAAGCGGGGCGAAAAGACGATAAATATCGTTTTGTCGCAGCGGAAAGACGATAATTATGGTTTTGTTGCTGTGAAAAGACGATAATAAGCGGGGTGAATAACTTTGCCCTCTAAATAGCGGCTTCAAGTTTTCGTTATTTCGCGTTGAGTTTTGTCGTCTTTGCGTTATATCGCTGCGAAAAGACGAAATTTAGCGTGGGCGAAAAGACCATTATTATCGTTCTGTCGGGGCGACAAAACGAAACACCGAAACGGCAGAAATCAGCCACCATAGTAGAGACAATGGCAGTAGTATCATTTGCATTTCCTAATCTTAATCAGCGAGGCGAAAAGACGATAATTATCGTTTTGTCGCAGCGAAAAGACGATAATTAGCGGGACGAAAAGACGATAAATATGGTTTTGTCGCGGCAAAAAGACGACAAAAACGAAACGAAACACCGAAACGGCAGAAATCAGCCACCATAACAACGGTATATGAATTGTATGATGTGTTTTGGCGTGTATTGTTGGTGTGTTTGTATTTCGAATGCAAAAACTCTTTTTTTGTAAATAAGAATTATAAAAAAGCTATTTTTTGTCATTTAAACCATCCAAAACTAAAATTTTGCATGTAAATACCAGCAGTAAACAATAGCAGTAAAACAGTAGCAAAACAGTAGCAAACAACGGCAAAACAGCAGCAAACAGAATCAAAGAACAACAAAACAACAGCAGCAAAAGTTTGTTTTTTAAAATCATTACAAATTTTGAAGAAAACAAAACGAAATTTTGTAAGTGAAAAATGTCAATTTTGCAAATAGAATATGTGATGATGTAAAGAAATGTAATAGTGTTATGAGTTTTTGTCAGTAAAATAGTAATAATTTGTAAATAAAACTTGTGAAAAGCTAAAATTTTGTCAATATAATCAGCAAAAACTCCTCTCAGATTTTGCATGCAAATATCAGCAGTAAACAAGAGCAAAACAGCAGCAAAACAACACCAAACAGCAGCAAAACAACACCAAACAGCAGCAAACAACAGCAGCAAAACATCACCAAACAGAAGCCATCAACAGCAAAAAGCAGCAAAACAGCGACAAACAGCAGCAAACAATAGCATCAAACAGCTGTTTTGATCGGAGAGTTCATCACGTGATCTTTTGGAACGTATATTAACCGACCGTTTTGTTAAGATTTCTAAAAGCAAAGACATAGTTTACACTCTCTGACTGATAATGATATCAAATTAGTGATGGGTCGCTCCTTTTTTATTTTATTAATTTATTTTTCATTATTATTAACGTTTTCAATAAAATGCATATGAAATCTTTTCAATATAACAATTAACACGAAATGCACAATTTTAAAAAGATATTGAAATGTTATAACGGTTTTTATCAATTATGAAATGAAAATCAAACCATTTAGCACCTTTTCATCGAATATGACCAAGGTGTATCTTCTTTTGGTCAATCACCAAAATATAATGGGTTGTTGAACAAGTTATGAGATTCGTGTGCAATTCGCGGTGGTTCAGTTGGTACTCTGTTAATGGCAATGATTTTAACCTATGTGTCTTGCGTATAAGCTTCGAGTTTTAATGAAACACTGTCGAATAGTAAAGGAGAGGTGGGCTTATAAGGATCGAGACAAATGAACACACAGCTGGACAAGGTGGCGATCCTCCGCCATGATTTTCTCTGTAAATGAATAAAAACCTCATTTGATTGTTTGTTGATTGATTGTTTATGTGATTTTTCAATTGTTTGCATACATCGAGCATATATCGTAAACAAGAAAACCAAAAAAAAAAAAAATCAATGTCATGAAATATTATAACGGTATATCTAATTGTCCTGCAAAAGCGCAGTATTACATTTCGGTGATATCAAATTTTGCTGAGAGTTGTCATAAGGATTTACCATTATCTCTTCGAAGCTATATATATAACAATGTTTGACGTCGAGTTTAATCCTCGTGACACGCAAAGAACTTGTTATCATAGATACCCTATATGAGCCTAAGAATTTGATACTGTTTTGTTATCCAAACACTTTATCTTTCATATTAGCATAAGCCTATCAGGACGGAACAGTTCTATTTCTGACATAGGGTGTAACATCTTAAATGCATCCAACACTTTTCTTGAAAGGGTTCAGTCCTTGCAGCACATACTCCTTCTGTGCACCTTTTACATGCAATACAATCTTGTTTTATCTAGTCAATTTGACGGTAGTATGGTTAGATTAGCGAAACTATAACATAGGATTATCTTTCCACAGGGATAGTGTACCTCCCATCAAGACAAGCTTCTGATAGTTCTTTGGTGAGTTTTGATTTCCTCTATCGATTCCTAGGATTTTTTAAAATTAGGCCTAAACAATGCTGATGAGTCCTAGAAAGAAAAACAGCCACATAATGATTTACTTCTGTATTTGGCACTTCTGCATCTACACCTACATTTGTGATATGTAATGAAAACCAATGGCGTCAAACCTTGCTCCTTCGACATGTTCTTGCTCTACCTGTCCTAGTAATTGGCGTCTTAATTTTAATTTAAAGATTCTAATAGATTCCGCGGGAAACTTAGTCAGAGATTTGTATGACACGAGAACACGCAGTGTAAGATTCGGTTTACAAGTTGATTGAATCAATTCGGTTTAGCAATCTTTTAAGCTCACAGGTAACGGATATTTTGCAGGTCTATGTATTTTGACACAGATGTTGTCTGCATTGTAACTCTTATCGAGTTTCACCTCTCAATGAGGTTGTAACCGGGCTAACTCGGCTACAACTGAGGTTGATAACCCATTCAAGCTTCGTCTTTTTCCAGGTCGCGTTCGCGAATCTCCGGCTTCAAAAATGAATGATCATTTCTGCTATTGCACTTGTTCATCCGCAAGCCAGTACTGACTTGTATAATAGCATATTTTTATCATCGACGCTTTTCCAGCAATGTTTGTGTATTATGTTGTTCAGAGGTACCATAGAATTAATGAAAACTCAAAT